CTCGAGCTCTCCAAAGTTCAGTGAAAGATCTCCAAATATTCCCTTAAATTAAACTCTCCAACAAAGATTTTCGCCTTCGTTCGAGCTAAAAGCCGACATAATAAACAATGCAAAAGGCACATTTTTTTTTCGAACATTTATGAGATGTAGATGTAAGTATGTAACAAGACATTAATATCTCAGATAATACAAAAAAAAACTGTTGTCCTTGATAGTTTAAACTAGTTAGCTACAACATTGATGCCCTAAATGTTTTACAAGTAAGTGCCCACAAATTAGTCCAATCATTTCCATTCCACGTTATATATAGTTCTCCAAACTACAAAGGCAATATGTAAACAGTACAATCATGTCAACACTTGAAACCAAAGTCAGCAGCAGTTGCAACACTTAAAATACACAGCTAGCCTTAAGTGCTCGACTAATGCTACAAGCTAGCAAAGACCACTACTACAAGTTATGAGAAGGCAGTAAATTAAGAGGATATATAATGATAGTGTACAAGAGTCTACAACTCTATGCAGGATGTTTCCATAAAAAGGCTGTTCAGGCCTTCGCACCTTGGGTCGAAGGCTTCTTTTTGTTCTTTTCAGCATCATCACCACCTTCATCTGCATCCTCGTCATCGTCCTCATCAGCCTCGGCTAGTTTCGTTAGCTCTTTCTGAATCATGAGCTTTATTGCTTGTTTTCTCGACGTCAGATCTGCTTTGAATTGGTTGGCTAATAACAGGAGATGAGAATTTGTCACACAATAGAAATAAATCATGGCAAGCAAAGTTTATCAAGATTTTTTATATTTATTATTTTTATTCCGATATAGAAATTCTTACTCGAGTAAATTTTTTTTCAAAAAATACCTCACTTTTCTCCAAAAAAAATCACATCTAGAGGCTTGCAGGAAATACCAAACGATTACCACATGTTTGTCATTTCACTACTTACTCCCTTACATGTTTCTAAATAACGATAATTTCTTATTCATGTTTTTAAACATTTGTATACCACATCAACGTTTATCACTAGATATTCCTTTCATCTCCAATTGCACCTCCAAAAATTTACCAAAATTCTCTGGTTATCAGAAAATCTTCATAACGAAAATATAATAAAACTCAGGTTAACGAAGGCTTTAGTATATTATATGAACCAAGTAAAGCAGAAGAACAGAGCTGTATTGTAAGTCTGTAATCATAATTGAGGTCCAAGTAACACCAATTGACTTCACAAGTGTAACATTATTTTCTAGCAATACCCTGCCTGCCTTGACTGGCAACTAAGATTTAAACTACCAAAGTGAAACCAAAATAAAAGATAGGGCGGCACTAAACGATAAGAATTCCTAGTCAGTTCACTAAAATAAAATTTATAACTTACATAGTTGCTTCAAAATGTCTGTGAAGGTAGCCTGCAGAATGGAAAAATGCGTTAAAAGGCTGGTGCAAAATCAAGGATCTATGCCCGAATAAAATAACAGAGAACTGTTAATCCAACTTCAACAACTTCCGACTCGAGCCTAATACAAAGAAAATTCCCAGTTATCTGATGAGGCATTACGTCCTACCAGACCACACAGGCACCTGACTCGATTCCCCCAAACCAAATCCAGAAACATTGAAGAAGATAGTTTCAGAAACTAACCGTATTGAAATCGACCTCTTTAAGGATCTCACAAATCGCACTGGTAAGTTCAGCATCGGTTGGCTCTGATTTCTGCTGCTTGAGTTTATCTTTCACTTTAAGAATTTTATTCCCTGCAGTTGAATAAACACAAAACGACTTCACCTAATTGTTAATGTGTACACAAGCCCATAAATTGGCAACCAATTATTATTACGATATGCATCAATACAGCAGCATACAATTAATAAAACAGTAAACTCTAAGGCTCTCACCAGTGCTCTCCTTTGACCCTGTCTTCTTCCCAGTTGGTGACTTGTCGAATGATTCGTCTTTCTTCTTACCAGAAGATTTTTTCGCACTTGTGTCATTATGCTTTTCTAATCGCCTTGGTGACTTATTGACCGATTCATCTTTCTTCTTAACAGAAGACTTTTTTGCACTTGCATCTTTCTTCTTTTCTGATCGGCTTGGTGGTGATTTTGCAGGTGTTCTTTTGGGTGGAGGGCTGGCCTTTCTAGAGATTGTTTCTTTCTTGGTTTGGGCTTTGCCATCAGATTCCTTCTTTCCAGATGACTTTTCTGAAAGTAGCTTCTTTCCCCTGTCCTCATCAGATCTGCCTTCAGATTCACTTCCCCCAGCTTCAGCTTGTTCAGACATTTCATCATCTGATCTTTCACCAATACTATTTCCATCGTCCTCCTCGTGGGCTTCCTGCTTCTCTTCTCCTGATTCATCTTCAGAGTCAGGAGGCGTGCTTTTTGGGCCCCCAGTTTTTGTAGAACCACCCCCAGTTATCTTTCGACTCTGAGAATGCAAAACATAAAATTGTTATTTACAATATGCAGTGTTCACTACAACAATCATCCTTACAATAAATTTATAATTATTATCCAAATTGATTTCTTTTCTTCAAACTAGCTTCAATGTTGAGCAGCCCTTTACAAACTAAGATAGATATGATAAGAGTTTTCACCTTCGATCAGTTTACTTATCTTGTTTCTGTATATAAGTAATAATGCAAAGCTACATACAACCAGAACACGTCAGGACCTGATCAAGACAATCTAGCATATTTATCAAATAATTAAAAACAGCAAGACAAATCTTGAACGAGTCACGCATATGCAGAATAATTAAAGCTTTATTTGAACAAATTTACCTTCCAAGGATATAATGAAGTAAAAACAAGAATCTCTACCTTAGCTGAGCCTTTTGATGGCGTACTACTCCCCGTACCAGATCCTGATTTGCTAACCCTCTTTCTCTTTTTGCCCTTACTTGACTGGTCATGTGCATGATATATGTATGAAAATCAGGGCCAGAAAGTTAAAAGAGCCAAAAGAAAATTCCCAACAGAAAATTATTCCATATACTACCTGCTCCTTCTCAGCAAGTAATTCAGAAGTAGTGGCATGAGGCTCCACCAAAAATTCTACCAACTTAGCAATAATATCTTCCTGGTAACAAAATAATATAGGTTTAGCGAGAACTGCAGCAAGATGCAGAACTCTACTTTTTGCATCTAACCAAACAGTATTTGGATCCTAACATGGGCAACGGTAATTATTCCCTATCAGGGGCACAATTTCAACAGTCAAGTGATAGCTGCAATTCTGCATCTTTTTATAGATGCTGAGATTGGAAACAGACCTTCCTTGAATTAGCCTTGGAAATTGGTATATCAAAGAGATCACAGAACTCCTGTAGCTTCTCCTTGATACACTTGTCAAGTTTCTCTTTGACTTTCATCATGTGCTTTTCCTGAAATAACGTTCATTTGGAGAACATTAAGTTCTAACAATTTGAAAAGATCCAAACTGCTATAGGACTTGCCATCAAGTTTCCTCTTTACCTCGTTGTCACGCCAAACAAATCCAGAGAATTTTGATATGTTGTTCTTAATTTCAGCAGCCTGAGTATTCAAGCAAGAAAAAATAATTAATTCATCTTTTTCCAATAGCAAGAAAGTCAGGGCAACCACCAGACTAACATTTCTATGGTCACCACGGATTCATATCAGCACAAACCACTGAATCAGCTGTAAACTATCCTAGGAAAATTAAGCAGGGTTGATGAACTAGTAAACACTCGATGCTAGTTCAATTTGAACCTTGTCACAGTAAGGGGTGTAACTTTTCATGAAACAAATTACTTTGATATAGGACCGACTATGATTAAAATTAGCCGGAAGCTCATAAATATTATTAATTCTGGAGAGAACTCCATGCACATCAGACTGAATTCTTTTCAAGCAGATTAGTTTAACTATAAATAATATGAGCGATGATATTTAGCCTAACCTAGAATATGGTATAAATTTTAAGTGTTACCTTTCCTCTCCTTCCAAAGAGAATAGTATGCAACAGTTTGAGAGTATCATCACTCTTCTTTCTTGACAGCTTGTATGCCACTGAAATAAAACTGTGGTTCAGATATAAAGTATAAATCCAAAATTTATTCTTACAACCGCGTCACTGGTCATCATTATTTCTTTTAGTCACATAAACACGTTAAGTAGATTGCAAGACACAAACGATGAGCAGTATGCCAACAAACGATGTTGCTTGGGCAGTACCGAAGCAACAAAAGACATGAGCAAAAACTTACAATAAAATGTGAGAACACATTATGTTAGGTGTGGAGAATGACAGATACAAGTGAGCACGCATGCATGGAGATCAGGCCATGTACGTTCTGTATCTCTGTCAGAGTTTTTACTGGAACAGTATTGCTGCTGCTAAATTTTACATCATTATTATACACTCTGCTGTTCTAGTTTAAAGCAGCAAACCATATGCCAACTGCTCATCTGCTTTTCTATTAACCTATTACAGACCAGCATATTGGTCAGTTTACTCAATTAAACCTATGTATACGAATAAGCAAGAAGAATGCCAAAAGATATGGCCTCAGTACTATGAAAACACAAGTATATGAGTTTCAAACCAGTTAGCATTTTGTTCTCAAGAGACTTTTATTTGACGATTAACGCTCCCAATTTTTGTGGATTGAGATTGACATGACTCAAGACTGTCAGATGATAAGCAGAGGGAGGTGGGTGATAAAATGATAGCAAATTACATGAGTAACATGACATACAAATCCAGCTGAAAAATTGTGAGTAATATGCATCAGGGATGAGAATCAGGAAACTCCTTATAGATGACAACGGGTATGGTAAAAAGGCACATGCGGTAAATGTTTAAGTACAAGGTCTTAATTGTTGAATGCCCTAATGTATCTTTCTGCCACACATAAAAAGAATAAATCTTTTAGGCAAACCCAAAGTTGTATGCCAAACACTTCATTATGCTAACCATACAGTTCAACAGAAAGAAAATCTCCAAGTTAGTTCAGCCAAAAGAAAAGGAGAATCGGAATAAAATGCAACTCATATTGACTTGGAGGACAGAGTGAAAAGGCATGTTCAAGTGTCTGAATTGCAAAAGTATACCATTTGGGATATCTTTCAGTGCAGTTCCACGACCCTGCAAGAAAACATTACATGTGTCACAGAATTAAATCTTTCAACAACTTCTAGTTTCACACAAAAAAAGTACAGCCACTAAAACTTGCTCAAAGCCATTGATGAAAGTAAATCAGGAAGTTGCAATATTATCAATAACTTAAAATTAACAACACACCTTTCCAACATGAAACTCCTTAGAAGAGTCCTGCTCAATAATGGCAACCAACCTTTCAACAGATTTCCTTTCACGTACAGGGCGATCAATTCTGGAAGCCGCAGGAGTTGTTGGCTCTTCCTTCTCTTTATCTACTGAAGATTTAGGTTCTTTAGTCTTTTTATCTTTTGGTGATTTCTGCCCTTCCCCCTTATCTTCAGGGTCCTTCTTCATGATTTTCTTTCCGCCTCCGCTCTTTGTTCTTGGACGTTTTCTTGTGCCTTTCTCTTTAATGGCTTCCTTTGGATTTTCTTCATTCTGTTTCACTTCATCAATCTCCTCTTGAACCTTATCCTCACTCTTTTTCCCCTTCTTTTCTGCTTCTTCAGATGCATTATCGGTTTTCTCCTCCTTGTCTTCCTCCATTTCCTCAATAGTTTTTTCCTTCTTTTCTGCTAATTCGGATGCATTCTCAGTTTTCTCCTCTGTGTCTTCCTCCATTTCCTCACTAGTTTTTTCCTTCTTTTCAGGTAATTCGGATGCATCCTCAGTTTTCTCCTCTGTGTCTTCCTCCATTTCCTCGCTAGTTTTTTCCTTCTTTTCTGCTTCTTCAGATTCTATCTCAATTTTCCCCTCCGTGTCTTCCTCCATGTTCTCACTAGTTTTTTCCTTCTTTTCTGCTTCTTCAGATTCTATCTCAGTTTTCCCCTCCGTGTCTTCCTCCATTTCCTCACTCTCTTTATCCTTCTTTTCTGTTTCTTCAGACACATTCTCAGTTTTCTCATCTGTGTCTTTCTCCAGCCCCTGTTCCTCCTTTTCTACTTCTGCGGTTGGACTCTCAGGTTTACCCTCTGTTACTTCTTCCACTTTATTTTCCATCTTTTCTGCTTCAGCAGTTACACTCTCAGTTCTATCCTCTATAACTTGATCAGTAATATTTTCCTTTTTCTCTATTTCTCCAGTTGTATTTTCAGTTTTATCCTCAGCATCTCCTTCTATTTCTTTATCCTTCACTTTTCCTTCTGCAGTTGCACTCTCTGCTTTATACTCTGCATCTCCCTCTATTTCCTTTTCTTTCTCGTTTCCTTCTGCAGTTGCACTCTCTGCTTTATACTCTACATCTCCCTCGATTTCCTTTTCTGTCTTTTCTACCTCTGCAGTTGTGTCCTCAGTTTTCTCCTTTGGATCTTCCTCCATTTCCTCACTCTTGGTTTCCTTCGTTTCTACTTCTGGAGTAACTTTCTTTTCTCCTTCTTCATTTACTTCTTCTTTTGCAGTATTTTCATCTTCCGCATTTTCGTTCCTTTCCTTGCTCTTGCAGACTTCTTTTTTGTCCATGTCCATATCCTGAGACTCTACTTTCGTGTCATCTCCTTTATTCTCTTTCTCCGTTTCAATCACTCCAACCTGCTGCTCCCCACTTTTATCTACCAGTGCTTCAGTCACTTTGTCTGTCCCACCTTTTTCAACGTTTCCGTTCGAAACAGACTCGGGTTTCTCGGGCACGGCATCTCCCTCACCCATAACAATCCAAACTGATGTATGAAGATGGGCAAGGCCAGATATTCCTGGGCATGGTACAGTATCTTTAAAAAGATATGCTTTACGTAACTACATAACCACAAAAGAAAGAACGGGCACAAAAACCGGATATTGAAAGTATATCAACACGAAAAAAAAGGGGGCTTTCGACGTTTTATAACAAAAATAAACAATAAAATCCTAAGCTTATAGAACAAATTCCAACGGGAACGCATGAATAGCTATCTAAGACAGGAAAAATACAACATACACGAATAATTGGCACTAAAAAATTATTCGACTTTCTTCAAACGTTCTGCATGGAGGTAGTTCTAAAATCATTAGGCATGGAGATGCTACAAAGATCTTCATAATCAGTAACACAGTCACAAGCCCGTCACTGGAGACAAACAGTAATAACAATCGAGGAAAAAAAAAGGAACAGAACATCAAAATAGCTGGAGAATTCCTCTTCAAAGAAAAGGGGGAGAAATCCAAAACCCTAACTTACAAAAGGATCCAAAACTAACATTAAAAATCTCAATTACAAGAGCATGAGAAGTTGGCTTCGAGTTCGAGAAAGTGAGACGACGCCATTAAAGTGGGAAAAACGTAATTGAAACTTACAAATTTCAAAGGTATCCAAGCTGCTCTCTCTCTCTCTCCCTCTCTCTCTCTCTCTCTCTCTGTCTCTCTCGAAGCTCACTTTTTTTTTCAGATAGAAACTGACTTCAGAATTATCTCCTTTTTTTTCCCCCTCTCGACCCTCAGCGAGAGTTATATAGCGGACATCAAGCTGGGGTATTAAATCCAGTTTAATTGCCATGTCGGATCACTGGGTGGGAATTTGAAAACCGGACACGTGTTCTACGGCTGGGATCAGTTTGTGTGCACGGAGGAGTCCACATTGAACGGAGAAGATTTCATATTCATTTGAATGTGCTTTTCGGTAAAGCTGATCTGGCTTGGGCCGCCGTTTACTGGCGAAATATTCTGCCGGTTTGGGCCGAGGGTTATTGGGGTTCAAAACATGTTAAATTCAACAATAAAGGACTCTCTTTGTCCTTCTTACATAAATAGTATGGGTTGTATATTAAATATTTCAATTCATATTTAATTCATATTTAAAATCTGACGCAACTTTAATTTAACTCCACAATCCTTAAAATTTAATTCAACTTTAGATCAACTTCACGATCTCCAATATTATTAATATAATTAAATAATAATCAATCAATCGTTCTTACACATAACATCAATTTTAATTTACTATTCATCAACTCGCATAATTTTAACTAACTATACTTTATATCATATTCTCCTACTTTTACATCAAACTAACTTTAATTATTTTATTTTAAATATTATTTTAGTATAAAATCAAAATCTCACTAACAACTACCAATACCACTTTTTTTTTTCAAAATAACTCTGGTTAACAAGAAAAAACATTTTTAGCGGATGATTGACAGTCTTTATTTGACGATTTTCTTTCTGATTGACAGTTATGTTTCCATTTTGTACGATGATTGACAATTTTTATTTGACGATTTTCTTTCTATCTCTTTCTTATTTGTAGTATTTATTTCCTTCTTCTTTTTTGCATTTTTATTTTCTTCTCGACCTCATCAATTTTTTCTCCTTCTTCAGTTTTCTTTCTTCGATCAACTCAACAAGGCTACGCCTGATTGAGTTGTCGATCAAAGCCCAATCGCCCTCAAGCGAAATCCGCAAGTCCTACTGTTCTCCTTTCCGCGGACCCGTTCTCGAGCCAAACCAGAGCCCTACGAGCCGCTCTCAACTAAAGCGATGTCGTTGCCCAACCCGTAGCTGTTGCCAACAATTACGTTATGCCATCAATCCATAGTCGCGGGTGGTACCACAATCTCCAATCCCCCAACACACCCCCCCCACCTCCCCCCTTTATGATCTGAAATCTTGGGGGTAATTGGATGGATGAGTGTATAGGGTAATTTGGTTTTCCTATGAATAATATTGAAGTTGATGAAGTGTGCAGATTTTGGTTGGGGGTTGCACGTGGAAGAAAGAAATAAATATGACAATTAGAAAATTAAGATTTTTTGGTAAGGAAATCTTAGAAAGAAAAGGGAAAAAAAAAATTGTATGTTTGTTTAAGACCATATCTCCATCCTTTTACTCTACTCTAGTGTAATTTACTCTAGAGTAGGATAAGCCAAATATCTAGTTTCGTTTCCAGTCGTTCGCGATACATTTTACTCTACCTTAAATACATTATTTTTTATTTATTTTTTATTCAAATAAATTCTAATATATATGTATATTTAATATTATATAATTTTATGTTCATCTTTTTCGTAGACTTCTAAGTCACCCAATTTTAATCATGTTGTGTTTATTTGTGTATTTATGATTTATGTGTGTTGTAACTTTTCACTGTAATGAAATCAATTTGTTTTATTGTGATACGTTTTTAATAATGTGGTGCTATGATATTAAAAAAAAATGCAAAATAAAAATATAATACATTAATGAACAAAAAGCGCAAAGTTATTTAACATAATATATGCATTTACTAATACACATTTTTATAAAGATCTACCAAAAATTGCATTAGATTTCACAAAAGATTTACTAAAATTCGCATTAAATTGCAATATATATATATATATATATATATATATAACATGATAAATGCATTTAATAATACACATATCTCCCCTATATATTAATACAGAATGCGCTGAGCCTACGTGGCTGCTTTTGGTGCTTCGAAATCCTATGTGGCAAAGTTACATGATTCGTTATTAGGCTTGGGTAAATTTTAATTTAATTCCAAACCAAAAATAATTAGGTTCGGATTACCATAAATATGTTGATTATTTATGGTCATGTTACATGTATTAATTGTATATCATTTCTTATTATAACTATTGAATTGTATATATATTTTAAAAGTTAATAACTTTTGTATTTTTTTATCAGTTTTGCATATGTAATATATCAAATTAATCTTCTTTTGATAAGTTTCGATTTAACATCCATATTGTATGTATAAAAAAATAATTTATATTTATTTTTATAACAATAATAAAATTATTTTTAATATTAATTAGAAAAATAAAATTATTTAATGGCTGAAGCCCTTCCAGTCAAGACCAAACTGAAGAAGAAAGGACTTAATATTGATGTGATTTGTAGTATTTGTGGTGAGTTCCCAGAAACTATCTCTCATGTACTCTTTCACTGCAGTAGAGCTACAAAACTGTGGAATATTGCTCCAGTCTCTTGGAATATGCAGCCTTCTCATGATTCCTCCTTTAGCTGCTGGTGGAAGACTATATGCTCTATAGGGAATTCCGAGACATCAGAGGCTAGGATTCAACTCACTACCTACATCCTTTGGTGGCTCTGGAAGACCCGCAATCTCTACATCTTTCAAAACTTGCTCATGCCAATCCAGACCACTTTGAAAGCTGCCCACCAAGACTGGACTGACTTCCATTCCCTTAAATCCTAAGTTGTTTCCATGTTTTCTTTGTTTTGGTGTGTTTCTCTTTTTGGATTTTGGTTTGTTGCTTGTATTTTTTTTTTAGGTTGGTTGTTCTTTCCTTTTTCACCTCTAGGCCTTTGGCAGTGGATGGTGTTGCTTTTCTTAGCTTTGTTTGTCGGTTTGAGTTGAGGTTCTAGGCCGCTTAATGCGTGTCCTCTCAGTTTTATCTTTGTAGGTTGGTTTGTATTCGAACTTTGTTCGCTTTTTATATATAATTACCCTGCCGTTTCGACAAAAAAAAATAATATATTTATATTTCAAGTAGTTATTGATATAAGTTATAAAAACTAATATAATATAACACATGTAAGTCATAAGTAACGCATATCATTCTAAAATATATAGTAATATTTTTTTTTTATAAAAAAAATAAACTAAATTTAATATAATTTTCTCATTAATTTTAAAATTTAAGAATAATTTTTTAACAAGCACCCGTGTAATACACGGGTATTGTACTAGTATACAAAGATTTACAAAAAAATGCATTAAATTACACAAAAGATTTAACAAGTACATTCAATTTTTTTTAGAAGTAGAGATGTGTTACAGTGTTGGCCAGTGCCAAACTGGCGCAACACATTTCATAAATTCATAATAGCGTGGACATCTGCGATGAGTTGAAGGAGATTTGATCTCTGTTTGTCCCATTTTTTGTGTCTTTATTTTGGGTTTATTTTTCTTTTATTTTCCCCACTTGTAGGATTTTCGCAGCTTATTTGGTCCAATTCTGTGGTTTTATGTTTTTATCTTTAGTTTCTATTTGTGCGTATTTTTGCCATGTTTTGCTTCGTGTTTTCCTTCGTGTTTGTGTTTTCAGGAGGTAGGTTGTGCCGGTCGAGGATGAGACTGCTTGAGCCGAGACTGTGATATCGAGAATACCCGCTGCCGACCCTAGAAAGCTGAAGAAAAGACCGAAAAAATGGACTGAAAATGCGCCCAGCACTGTTCGCGACTCGCGTGATTTACAGAGCCGAAAGACGGAGTTCGCGAGCACCAGTCGCGACTCGCGAGCACCAGTCGCGACTCGCGAGATGGATTCGCGACTCGCGAGTTAGGTCGCGACTTTTCTCAAAAATTAAAGATTTTTTACGACGCGCGACTCGCGACCACTGAAAACGTTAAGTCGCGACTCGCGACTTGCCCGGCGCAGATTTTTACATCAGAATTGGGGCCTAGGGATCGGGGATTGACTCCCAGACTTTGTTTTTTACGTTTTTCTCTCGATAGAACTCATTCCTTCATTGCTTTTGCACTTTGGATTTGTTTTGGAGATTGAAAAACTCCTATTTCTCGCTTTTGATTTGGATGCTTTTGGATTTAACATTGGGATTTTATATTAATCGTAAGTTCCTTTTCTCAATTTCTCTATTGATGATGATGGCTTGGGTTAATGAAATTTGTGATGTTATATCTGCTATGAGTAGCTAAATCCACACGCTAGGGATAAAGGGTAATTGATTAGATTCATTTTATGATTGCTTACTTTTGATTGTTCATGTCTATTCGAGTTGTGCAAATTTTAGGGTTAGTTGCCTGATCACCATTCTAACCTAGCTAATTGACGTGTAGAACAGAGAGGGGAGACATTGGTCGATTTAGGCTCGTTTAGGATAGACTTGTTCGGTGACGTATTGTAGCCTCAATGGTTATGGACACAGCTATGGTTCCAGGACTGCCCTTGTCAACATAAAGTTGAATAATGGACTCAATTTGAGTCGAAGACCGAAAACATTCCTTTCATTCACTTCGCCAATACTTATGACCTCCTCGAATGTGATTCCAACAGCTCGTAGTTACAGTCAAAGCTCGGGCTGAGGCTTCTCACTTAGCACAGTAGGAATGGATGGTAGGCTTCACCGAGTTTGACTAACTGAACCGAAGTGCAAAAGGTAGTGCGGTGAAGTTAATTAAGTATGAGATAAAAGTGACTAAGAACTTTCCCTTGTATTTTTTTAAGTTTGGGTTGAAAGAACTACAAGGGTTTTGATTTCGCAACTCATACTGTTGACCATTACAGATGAGCTAGATGAGCAAAAGAGCATAGATCAACTATATCGTTTTCCCCAAAAGATCGAGCTTACCTCATGTCAGTTCAATCTTCTCATGAACCTGAATCATTTGCTGAAGCCTCCAATCATTCTTGTTGGAGAGTTATTGAGAGTGAACCTCTGAACGAGAAACGATTTAATTCCTTTGACCGAGTAATTGATTGCCCGGTAATTGTGTTAGAACCGAAAGCAATTATCCCTGATTCCCTAGCTCTTTAATCATTGAGTGAATTAGTTTGCCATTTAAATTACTTTGCACTTAGTTTAAATTCATTAGCTATAATTGAAACAAAAAACCATTGAATTAGAAGTGTTTAGGATCTTGTCTTCTCTTTTTCGTGATCGAATAATCGTATGATTGAATCCGGCTAACCTTCCTTGCGATACGACCCGGGGAACGAATCTTTCGATTCTACTCCGGTAAAAATACTGACAACAATCTCCACTCTACTGCAAATCAAAACATTTGGTGATCGGTTGGAGCTGCTCTAAATACACACTGTTTGATTGCGTTTTATTGTGTTTGTGATTTGTGTGGAATGGAGGCTCATTTACTTAAAGTTGCTAGTTTATTGTTCATAGAAGTTGTTTTACTTATGTTTTGTTGTTTTTTTGTTTGTTATTGACATTTAATATATTATTTGCTAGTTTCCACAAAATATATATTTTATTATAAGTTCCAATAAGAAACTAATATTTTGTGTTGTTCTTTTCCTAATTTAATTGTTAATTATTAAGCAGCAGCCCTTAGATCGTCCAAGAGCCGGTCATCTCCGCTGAGCAGAGGCACGCCCGACGGAGGCAAGGAGGCACGACTGAGCGAAAAGGATGAGCGGCACTAGGTTTTTCAACAATTTGGGGTAAAGGCACAGGACTTTAATTCATTAGTCATTAGCTCACTATTTTTAACCACCTATCACTTCTATCATTTATTTTTTGCTTTTACATCTTATCAACTTTTAATCATTACATTTAAAATATTCTATAATTAAAATCTTTCTTATCACTCAATCAACTCTATTCAAAATAACCCACTTTAACTCAAGATCCAAGTTTGATCGATTTTGACTAGTTATGACTGTTTATCAATCACTCCCTTTCCGTATTTATTCATTTAAACATCAATCACACAGTTTATCTTTCACATCATCCCTCCACTAAATATATCTCGTCATTTAAAACATATCCACATTGGTTAATTCAAATAAATATAAAACATATTGCAGGTGGTCCCACAAATATTGAATAGGAATGTGTGACCCCATTTAAATATTGTAAAAGGATAAATGAAAAGGCAACAATTTCCATTTAATGGGTTGAATCGACAGGGTCCACATAAAATAGGTCAAATATTTGCAATTGTGCATTGTTCATGGAATTTATTTTGTCTCCACAACTCCTGTCTGAGTTTGTTCATGAACATTGGTTCATTTTCGTGAAATTCTTGTTGTATGTGTAATTCCTAGTGAGTATGATTCTTGATATTCATTTCTATATTATTATTGTAGTTCATATGTGTAATTCCCTTGTATAACTTATGAGAAAATATTGTTTTTTTTTTTTCGAAACGACAAGAGATATTATAAATCAAAAAGCACAAATGTGCAAATACACAGCAACCAACGACTGAATACACAGCAGCCAACAGCTGAAAAAAGTGGGAGGACAGGTCAGAGACCGCCTAGAGTCCCGGCTAGTAACGCTAGAATTAAAAGCTCATAACAGACTAACCAACAACAAACTACAAAACACAAACTAAACTAAAACAAACTAAAAGTCCCCAACAGGGTAATACTCGAGTGTCGGATCCCAATGGGATAATAAGGTGACACTCGGGCTCACAGAGGCCAGATGCCCAGACCAAAAAAACTGAGAACAACACTAAAAATTGAAACAAAAGACCAAAACTAAATACTAAAACATAAAAGGAGACAAAGCCTCCCTCGCCCAATACATCTGGATAAAAGGCAGACAAAACCAACTCAACAGATAGCTCCAAAGCACAGAAATATCCGCTGCCACTGCGGAAGGCCTAGCAAGACGGAACCCGCACCCCAGAATCAACCGAAGAGTTGACCCGCACTCCAATCACGAAAGACAACAACTACATCTCAACCTAGCCCTAGACGCTTGAATACGACCAGACAGCCGAGCATTGACTGGAAACAGCAGACCGACCCGGCAGTAACTACAACCATCCACCGTGAACCCCCAAAACCAACTCGCCATGAAGCCCACCAGCCACAGACACAATAGAGGAACCGAGACAAAGCAGCGAAAACAGGCCACACCTTCAATTGACCCGGCCTAGAGTCAAAACATGAGGAAGCCACTATCGCTCGCCGCTTCGCCGACGGAAAGGCACAGTCCCGACCGACGACAAGAAGGGCGAAAAGAGGGGAAAACATACCAGCAGCCCAACCAAAAATGAGAGCAACCAACCTTTCCTCGTCCATAGACCCGCACCACATCTCGACCACCGCCGTCCAATTCAGAGCTCCGACGACCAAACAGGCAAGAAGACCTACCCGCTGAACGAATCGCGAAGCTGAAAGAGAAGCAACAAAAATGGGGAAAGGCTGCACCGCCATGGACGAGCGACGGAGGCCGTCCACCTCTAGCCCCAGACGACCGGCGATAATCCGACACAAATTCGAGAAGAGGAGAGCTAGGGTTTCGGGCGAGAAATTTGGGGATGAAGAGGAAAGGCTATATGATTAATGATTTACATATGTATGTTGTGAGAAATTTGGGCGAGAAAATATTGTTAGAAATATTTTTTACGTATTTGTAAATTTAGGAATTGTCGCAACTGAAAATTCAAAAAAATGAAAGAATTCAAAGATACAAAGACATGGAGATCGAATTTTGAAGATGAAGTTTCAATAGAAGATGAAACATAAGATTTTGAACCATATTTTGAGAGTAAAGAACATGAAAGAGAATCCGCAAATGCGTGGAGATTGAGTTTGACAACGAAAATATGGAACGATAGTAAAAAATATTTGATGTACTGTTCATTTTATTTTTATTCTTTTTTATTTTTCTACTTTTCAAAAATGTCAATATGATAACTATTGCATTCTATTGGTTCGACAGGTGAATATTTTGCATATTTTTATTTGAATCGAGTTGTTGGTTGTAACATGTTTTCTTCTCTTGTCTTCATTCTTGTTTAATGGATGGTGCTTAATATCCTAACACATTCTAAATTAATATTAAATTTTACTTACTAATTTGACACTAGTTATTATGCACATAATTTTTTTATGAGCATTTTATATAAATTTAATTATTATATTAAGAACTAAAAGACTTAGAAAGTCTACAAAAATTCACATTAAATTCTTAAGGGTAAATTACAGTTTTGATACCTAAACTAAAGTTCATTTCGGAATCAGTACTTGTTTTTTAACATTTACAAAATCAGTACCCATACTTTCATTCAGTTAGCAACGTAAGTACCCAGCCGTTAGATGCCCGTCAAATTCCCGTTAGTTTTAACGGAATGGTCAAAATAGAGGGATTTTGTCTGTTTTTTT